GCAGGCTGTTCCTCGGCCATCTGCCTGAGGATGTCCCCCTGGGTGGGCCGCATTCTAGGGCCGCCTCAGCGCGACTGCCCACCAGCCCCCAAAGAACAGCCGCCCAGGACAAAGCCACTGACCCTTCAGTACATCTGGATCAATCATGGAGCGACCGCTCAAGGCCCCCGACCTGGGCCAGTGCGGCTTCTGGCGTGAGCTCTGCCCCACCTGCAGCTGGAGAGCCCAGCACCCTCCGGGTCAGACCCGCTGCTCTCCTGCAGGGCGGGTGTGGCTGCTGCCCAGCTCAGGGCCATTTTGTGCCAAGTCTAAGTGGCGCCCAGAGTGGTGGCGGCCTGGAAGATGGCCCTGCTCCTCAGCCACGTGTAGCTTCCTGTAACCCTTTCTTATGAATTATTTTCTAATGAGGTACCACTGTTTCACATCTTCATTTCTGACAGCACAGGTCCCCCGCGGGTGTGGCTACCATGGCTCTCCCACCACAGAGCACCCGGCCCTCCGGATGCTCGCTATGATCAATTAGCGACTCGTCTTGTTTTTCTTCCCCAGCAGCATGTAGAAGCACCTGTGGCGAGAGCCCAGGGAAGCCCTGCTTGTTTCTTGGGGTGAAGCTTCAAGATTCTGTCTACAGTGAAACCTGACAGGCGCAGACGGGCTAGCAGGGACCAGAACGACCCTATTGTTATTTTTTATAAAGATTTATCCACACATGCAGAACTGGGGTCAGGCAAGAGGTGTGGCAGTGAGAGAATTCACCAGCGACAGAGTGGGGAGCAGAACAGACTCCCCACTCTATCAGAGTACACTCAGGGGAGCGGCGGGCGGGTCGGGAGAGGTCTGCCGCGCCAGGTGGGTCACCCCCTGGCCAGGATGGAACTCGTGCTGCGGTGGCTGCGGTCAGTTTCAGAGTGCCGTGCTGCAAGCCACTGTGCCAGCAAGAGGGCCAACAGCCCTATTTTTAAATGGCTCCAATTTATGTCCGACTTTCACAGTGGCCCACATGGAACAAGACGTCTGGGAGTGGGGCCGCAGCCCCTTCTGGAACGAGCTCGACCTGGGCCCTCGGCCTCCCAGAAGGGGTCGAGCCCTGAATGCAGCAGCACCCACCCCAGAAGAGCAGGCTGTGCCCGTGAGCTGCCTCGGTAGCTCTGCCTGGGCGGAGGAGCCGAGAACAGTGCTGCCTTGCCCGAGGGCAAGATGCCAAGACCCAGGCGAGGAGCCTTCCTGCAAGGCGGCCACGCCCTGGACATGTCTGGACAGGGTGCGGCCACCCGCTACACACATCTTAGAGTGCGGCTCCCTAGTCTCACTGGTACCCGGACTGGGGTCTGCGGAACGGCGCAGAGGACTATGGTAGCTAATCCACAGGGATGCCAGAGTCTAGAGGCTGAAATCTGAGCTCACTGCAGGGTTACAAACAGCTCAGGTGAAAGTTGTTTCTGTTAGCAGGGCCTCAGGATCGGGAAAGATGCACCAGGCAGAGGGGAAGCAGACCAAGCACACTGATGGCAAAATGAGGGGGGTGGAAGAGTGGGAATGGGGGACAGTTATACAGCCCTTTAAGAGTGTCACTGAGAATTCGTTCCTGGCTTTTGGTCAGCAAGTGCTGGCTGAGCGTCCGTCCCGCGCCTGTGCTGTGGCAGCCCTGACGGCGAGGTGCTTGGGGGTAGGAGTGAAGCAGCATGAACGCAGCCGCTGGGCTTACCTGGGGGTGGCCGCGGCCACTGCTAGGTGGTCACTTTAATTGTGCCAGGGTGAAACAGTGCTGTGGGGAGAGGCCTCACGCTGTCCAAAGGACAGTGGCCACTAGAGGACAGGTGACTGTGGGTTCTCACCCATGCACACAGTTGCAAGCCCACTTAGGCGCAGGGAACAACAGGGCTTATGTAACAGACAGGGAAACAGCGTTCTGAAGGCTACAGAGCCTGACTATCTTACCCAGTGTCCAGAGCGTCCACAGGTCCCAAACAAACGGCTGTTCCTCCAAGATGGCGCAGTCCCATCAACATGGGCCTGGGCTCGTGGCAACCGGCAAGCAGCAGGCCAGGGTCCACCTCACGGTAGCGACTGGAGGCACTCCCAGGTGGGGCCTCCGAGATGACACCACAGCAACCCAACGGTCTGACGGTCGGGGCGCCCGACCGGACTCTAGGAGGCTGAGCCAGGCCATCAGATACGCCATGCTAGCAACTCTCAAAAGCGACCTGGGCCATCTGCAACGCGGGACAGCACTGGCCAGTAGTGCTGGTCACCACTGTTCACTACGAGGTGGCAGTGACAGAAACCCGTTACAGCTCCGAGTCCTTGGCCCACACCAACAGAAAGCTCTTGGGGGCACCACGCCCGGGGCCTCAGTGCTCCTTCCGGAGACTTGAGGCAGGCGGGAGGGCGGCAGTCCCCCACCTCTGCACATCATTTTGGCTTCTCTCAAAGCATTTCAGCTTCTTTTCTCCCTTGGAGAAGTGGGGTGTTTCTTCATTCTTCGGAGGCCAGGAACAGAGGGCGCAGCTGGCTCCTGCCATGCCTTGCGTCCTCCTTCAGTCTCCCACCTACAGGTCTGATTGGGCCATTTCAAGCCTACGGTTGCGCAGACCGTTTCCAATCAGCTCATGGCTCACACCTGATCTGGTTCCGCCACCCCGGCACCACATCCGTGGGCCTCTCTACTGGCTGCAGCTGGAGGGAGCCACGGTGCTGACCTTGGCCCAGGGAGCCCCTCGCTCCTGCAGCCCGAGCCCCTATGGGGTCGCTGGTGGTGGGTGTGACAGTGCCCGCCACCTGCTGTCACTTGCACTGCCCACGGGCAGTACCTGCGCCTGAGCAGTGTTTCTGGCTTCAGGGGAAGCGACTGTGAGCAGGTGGCGCCGTCCTGTCAGAGGCTTGAAGCTCTCTGGGCCTGGCTGGGTTTGTTCCCCCTTGTATTGTGTGATGTGGGACCGTCTTGTGGGAGCAAGGTAAATTATAGTGCTTTTCTTTGCCACCACCAACAAAAAAGACAAAGTAGCCTCTATTCTGGAGGCAGATTTCAGTGCCGTCCTCAGGCCCCCCAGCGCCTTCAGTGACCTCAGAGGAAGTTTTATGTCACTGAAAATCCCTCTTGGAAAAGTTAACTCTTGTCAGAGTCTTTTTGTTAGATTTCGTTTCCTAATGCTGTTAAAACAATGAAAATGGTAACAATATACATATATAATTGTATTAAATAAAAATATTATCCCAATCCTTGAATCGTCTGTCTGGATAGCGCAGCTAGCTGACTCCATGTGCTCTGAGGAGCGTGCTCCTCTGAGCGCCCGCCAGAGATCCAGGCGCTGCGGGCAGGCCGCAGATGGCCCTCGCGCCCCAAGAAGGGCAAAGGTGGACAAAAGTGGAAGCACCTTAACAGGAGGTCCCGGGTGCCACATTCGGACCAGGGTTTGAGTGGATGCATATGGCCCGCCCCTAGAAGACGCACGTGTTTGATAAGGAACAGCCACGTGTGAATGGCCAGTGGGCGGAGGCAAGGACACGCGGCGTTAATCTTCCAGAAAAACATTTATTCAAATATGCTGCATGCTCAGGACAACAAACATGACTTCCCAGCTCAGCAGACGCTCACAACTTTTCTCCAGTTTTAAGAACGCACATGACTGGAATACAGACTCAGGTAAAAAACACCATTACTGTAAAACCATTTCTTATACTTTCTAACCTGTACAACATGCTTTATAGCTTCAATTAATTTTACAAAATTAACTGAGTTTACTTGACTACCACCTAAGTTAAAGGTAATTTTAAAAACAGAAAAACTGAACAGCCGCCCAGGCATCCCTGAGTGTGACGGGAAAGGTGGGCCGCACCTGTCAGTAAGGTAACGAGCCCACTTACAGAGAAACAAGACGATGCCAACAAAAGCCATCCAGGTGGTGTCTGAGGACATGTGTGCATACACACGTTACATACATGTAACGGAAAATACTGGAACGTTTCACAAATGTAAGACACCTACTCTAAGACCCCATGAACACAAAATACTGCCTGAGAGTAACAGCTCCGTCAGGAACCAGAGCTGGAAACCGGTCTCCGCCGGGCTAGTCCTCCAGGCGGGCCTGTAGCTCAGGTTAACTACATCAAGCCACGCACGCAGGGAGCCAAGTCCCACAGCTGTTAACATTCAGGTCACTTCTAAATGCTTAACAAAATTACCTTAAGCATGAAAATGTTAAAAATTTAAAGCCTAACATGGAAACAGAAGCCAATTCTGGCTACTTACTCCTTCCTGACAAAACACACTCTTTACAACATGAAAACAAAAAGAAAGCTGGCGAAGGGAACATTTTCACGCACTTCTGCCTTAAAGAGTGGTTATGGAAGCGCCCCCGGGGTTGGGGGGAGCGACTGCTGTGGGTGACTAAAGAGGCCAGGGTACCTGGCTGCGCCCTGCTGCCCTGCCCCGGGCACTGCCCTGCCCTGCCGGCCACTGCACGCAGAGCCTCCAAGGAGCGAGTGACAGGGATTAAGAGACGCCAACCTGGAGCCAGGCCCAGGCTTCGGGGTGGTGGAGGGGCCAGCTCGTAAGAGGGACTGGAGAGAACATTCGCTGAAACTAAGGAAGGGCCAGTCAAAGCAGAAGATTCTAGGGTCAGGAAAGAGTATACTTTGCACCCTGAACAAGGCACTGTGCCTCTTCTGAGCGGCAGCAGGAGAAACTTAGATTCTAAAGCAAGATCCCAGACAAGGCTGCAGAAATCACACTGGTAAGAAGTACAGCTGACCTGACTTCTGGTGGAGGGAAAAACTTAAGACTCATCCCCAACCAACAATCTGATGGTGCAGGAATTCCCCTTTCCTTCTTAACCCCATCCATTCTTTCCTTCACGTTTTAGTATTTTAATGAAGGAGAATTTAGTTTGTGACTTTCTAACACTGAGGTTCTCTCCCAAAGAACGCAGCCTGACACCAAAACCCAAAAGGCCCCAGACTGAGCTCCGGGGAGGCCTGTCCTGTCTACAGGTCTGGTCTGCTTGCAGCTGTAGGTACCAAATGTCCTTCAACATTAGCCAGCATGCTCTCCTCCAGCCCTGGAGACAGACGGCGGCACGGCTTCAGTGACCTTTCTTCTTTTGTGGGAAAAAGGTATACTTTGTGGGGTTAAACTCTTCCCAAATATGCTCAAATTCTTCCAGAAAAAGCCTCACATACTCTTCATCCTCCATAATCAAAACATTTTCTCTATTGTTCTGAATGGCTTGTGTGGTCCAGTTGAGGGAGCCGGTGATCAGCACCTTCTTGTCCACTATGGCAAACTTGTGATGCATGTAGCCAAGGTCCTGATCGTGTCGAACCTGAATACCTGCAAAAAGGGCAAGTGAACCTTCACTACTACGGCCTCACACGCGGCTCTTCGTTCACACACAAGCTCCTCACTGTGCACCAATTTCCAGCTACTTATTTTGCCGTTTGCTTGCACTTGGTGGGAAAGGGAAGCTTGTCATGTTTAACAAGGGGTGATGGCGGAGTCCTGGTGCCCCAAGGAGGAGGAGGACTGCCAAGGAAGTGAGGCGCAGTTCCCACAGCCCCCAGGGAGGAGGGGCAGCAGAGGCAATGGCAGATATGCCCATACCCCCCAAAACACAAAGAGCCATGTGGTCTTGTACAGTCTGATGTTGGTAGCTTTCTGGTGGGTCTGAGAATGCTATTACCATCAAATTCTATGGAACAAACATTTGTTGTTCCTGATAAGGACACCTGTGCTGTTCACTCTTTACACTACTCAATTTCGTCTGAAAACAAACCTTCATTCACCAGGTCCTGTGATTTGGTGAGGTTTACCCACCCATGCCTCTAGACTCTAAATCCACAGCATAATCCTTCAGAATTACCGGTTCTGGAAGAGCGATAATCCCATCAGAAGTAACTGAGCACAAATCACAGGCTGGGGTTCACCCGAACTAGGGACCCACTGAATCCCTCCCTCTGACACCCTCAGAGCCTGGCTTCTCTGGTTCTCCTTCCCCTCTCAGGCTTGCCCTTTCCTTTTTTTAGAATGGGAGGCAGCGCCGGCCTGGTGGTGCTCATATAGGGGTGTACAGTCCCTGGCAGAAGTGAGAGTTTAAAGGCAACCCCAGCCGGGGACACGTCTCACACCCTGTAGCCAACCCGCCAGCAAGGACCATGAGCTGAACCTTCAGAACAGAACAGACGGCTCTGACCACCCCATCAGACACAAGGCCCTGGCATCCACTTTCCAGTTTCCATCTGACCCTACCACCTACTGCTACCCTGGAGCCCATCCCGCTAGGGGCAGTCTGGACAACCTGTGTGAGGTCTTCTGTGCCTCTGCCAGGTTCGGGGTCCCCTAAGCACGTTCTGTCTCACATTCCAGGGTCCAACCCCCTGTCTCCACTAACTTGGAGTTCCTCCCAGGTAAAACTCCCGCACCTTGCAAAACCACCCGGGGAAATACATGAGACCCCATATGTCTCAGGCCTCTGACCCAGTATCCGCCTTTGCCATTCACCTGGGGCTCGTATCCCCGCCCTGCCCCAGTCCCCACCCCCCAACAGGCTCCTGAGCCCCAGGCCTGGAGTCCCCAACACCCTGCCTCGCCTACCTGCCTTGCGGAGCAGCCCGATCTGCGAGCCATTGAGGGCCATGTAGTCACAGTCGGTGATGACCCGGACGCGCACTCCGCGCTGATGCAGCAGTTGCACGGCGCGGCCCAGCTGCGGGCTGGAGAAGGCGAAGAGGCAGAGCTCGAGGCTGGCGCGGGCCGCCAGCAGGGCGCGCAGCAGGCGGCTCAGCGAGCTCTCGCCGTGAGGCAGGCTGCATGGGCAGTCCGTTGAGGGCTCCTCCGTCCCCGCACCCGGGGCCTGCAGCAGGGCCTCGGTGCAAGTCACCTGCGACGGAAAGAAGAGCACCTCGCGCCGCGACCGCGACCGCCTCCCTGCCCGCAGCCAGCGCAGCACGGAGGGCAGCGCCTCCAGGGCCAGCGTGAGGCCTACTGCCATGGCGGCGGCCACCTGCCAACGCAACGGCCCCATGCTGCAGGGGAACGCCACTGTGCTTACTGCGCCTGCGTGCCCTTAGGCCACACGCGCAGTGCCCACCACGCCTGCGCACAAAGGGCACGTGGTTCTGGTGCCCACCACGCCTGCGCACTGGGTGGCCACGTGTTCACGTGCACTCTCAGGGGCTTGCTGCAAACCGGACACAGTTCCCCATGGAACTGTGCAGAGGCGCCCCTGCCAGCCAAGTACAGGGGACCACAAGCACCCTGAATTGATGCAGTGAGCGCCCCGCGCCCCGTGCCCCACGCCTCAAAGCCAGAGACTACTCGGTGCACCTGACACCACCACTGCCTGCAGACAGCCGGGGCCCTCCTCCAGCCATATGACAGCGGAAGGACCTCTGAGGTCACGCCTTCACGTGGCCTGAGTGGGATCAGCTAGGTAAGGCTGGGAGGAAACCAGCAGAGAATGCCGGATAAACCAAGCAGGTTTAGTAGGTGGCAGGATTTGACCCCAAAATGCTGAAGATCACAGTGTGGTGGGGACAGCCCCAAGTCAGGGGTTTGATCTTTTGTGTTTCTTCTGACCCTCCCTAGATGTTTATTTGAAGACGTTTGTCCCACTTTAAGCTTAAACTGAGTGGAAACTAATTCAGAGGTGCTGTCTTAGCAGCACTGCTTGCACCTGTCCCTTGGGTGGGGCTTTTACTTGTCACTGGGAGGGAAAAAAAGAAGAAAGAATTCCCAGTTTTCTTTCCTGAATCCTGATCGGGAATTTGCATGAGAAAATCAAAAGTCCGTTCTGTGGTTTTTAAACGATGACAGTCCTCTACAATTTCCTTTCTGTAACCGCTGACAGTCTTCTTGACTCCCATCAGTTAAATCAACCCCTGGATGGGAAGAAGCAGCTTTGGAAGTAACTTCAGAAGACTATTAGAACCAGGACTATTCGAAGACAAGACTGGCTCTAGAACTGCGCTTGGGAAGTATGAGTCTCAGCTATCCCGTAGTATCAGAGAATGGGAATATGTCCAAAGAATATGAACCTTCAGTGGCCAAATCTGGAACAATTTGAGAATCAGAAAAATGTAACCAAATATATAGCTAGAGGTATCGGCTGCTTCACACCTAGGCTTCAGTGTAGCCTCTTGGGACAACTGTCTCATGTGAGCCCTTTGTTGGCTGGAATGTTAAGAGATAGGTGACTATACCTAATCTTTTATTAATATGTTATATCCTTTGTCCCCTTTAATCTTTTTCATTCATAGGTTATTTCATCTAATAGAGCCACTTACTATTTGCATGGAGTATCTTTTTACATCTTTCCACTTTCCATTTGGACCTATGGATGTTTATGGATCTTAACTGAGTCTCTTGTAGCCTACAATTGAATCATGTATTTTTATCCACTCTGGCAATCTGTCTTTTGACTAGGGAATTTAATCCACTTATAGTAATTACTGATAAGGATCTAACTTCTGTCATTGTCCTATTTATTTTTCTTTGTCCTACAGCTTTTTTTTGTTCCTTATTTCCTGCATAACTATCTTCTTTTGTGTTTGATTATTTTGTAAAAAATGTTTAAATGCCATGATTTTCTTTTGTATATAGTCTACAGTACTTTCCATAGGGATTGCATTTAACATCCTAAAGTTACAACCTTTGAATTTGATAGCTGCTTAACTTAAAAACAAAAAACTCTCTTCTACAGCTCCATCCCCTCCCCTTTCAGTTGTCAGAAAATGACATCATTATGCATTGTGTACCCCAAACAAAAACTAAAACCTCTTTTAAATACATTAGTCTCCTAACTCATATAGAAAACAAGATTTGAAATTGGAAACCAATTACAGTAATATTTTTACATTAGTAATTATTTTTCTTAAGGACATTAGTTTCTTAAATCATGTAGAAAACAAAAAGTAATTACAGTAACACTAGTTTTCATAATTGTCCATGTATTTTGATTTTCACTTGACACCTTTATTTCTCTGTATGGCTTTGAGGTATTCCATTCCAATGTCCTGCCTTGCACCCTAGTGGTTTCTCCCTAGAGCATCTGATGATCAGGCCTGGTGGTCACAGCCTTCTTCACCTTTTGCTTATTGGAAATGTCTTGCTCACTACTTTCTCACTTTTGAGAGACCAGACCAGATACAGCATTCTTGGTTGACATTTTTTCCTTTGAGCACCTTTGAGTATACAGGCACCGTTTTCTGCCCTACTGTGATGAGAAATCTTGAGTGGAACTGCCATTATTTCTATTGTTCTCTGCCCCTTTCTTACTCCTTCTGGGACTCCATGATCTAAAGTTGGGCCTCAAGGTGGTGGTGTACCCCACAGATCCCTGTGGCTCTATTTGCTTTCAACCTTTTTCGTCTGTTCCTTAGTATCAGTAATATTCCATTGTCCTATCTTCAAGTTCGATTTTTCTGTCTGCTCAAACATTCATTTGAATCCCTTGATGAACTTTGCATTTCAGTTAATTTTATCTCGACTTGTTTTTCTTATTTTGTCTTTGTTGATATTGCCATTTTTTACACATCATTCTCTTGACTTTTTCCACATCTTCCTTTAGTTCTGTGAGCATCTTTAAGACAGTTATATCTGCCATAAAGTCCTTTTCAGTGATTCTGGAATCTTTGAGTAGTACTTACTTCCTTGTCTCCTTATTGTTCTTGTGACATTTTTAGACATCGGACACTTGCGCCTAATGTGGAGATAGTATAAATCAGCCTCCCCCTTCCCTCATTTGCTATTTACTTTTTAATTGTTGAAAGCTGTCTCTTTGCAGAGGGTCAACACAATAATGCCCACCTCTTTGACTTCTGTGCTCAGGGATCAGAGCACAGATCCACAGTAGTTGAAGGGGAATCCTTTTGCCCTCCCTTGCTCCCACAAGATGTGGCAAAGCTGATCCAAGAACGTGAGCACAGCTGCCTGCCACATGGCTGAAGGGCTGGGGTGGGTAACTGCCACTGTGCTGGGTTGAAACTGACCTAAATGAACAATTTACCACCCGGTCTTCCTCTGGAAGCTGCAAATCTTTGACAAACTCCAGAGATGCAAAATAGTTCTGTCATCACTGGTATATATTTTTTTAAGATTTATTTATTTATGCACACAGAACTGGGGTACAGGCCAGAGTTGCAAGGATAGTGCAAGGATTCACCAGAGACAGAGCGGGGAGCAGAACAGGCAGATGGAGCAGCGGGCGGGTCAGGAGAGGTCTGCTGCGCCATGTGGGTCACCTCCGGGGTGGGGATGGAACTCATGCTGAAGTGGCTTTAGCTTCTTAGTGCTGTGCTTTAACCCGCTGTGCCACCAGGGAGGGCCCCATCACTGGTATTATTTTTAAGCAGAGTATTTTCTGTAACTGATTGTTTATAAATTTTATTATCAAACCAATAAAATCCCCTAGTTAACAGTATACAAAAATACATCTTTATTGTGTTTCAGTGTTCTTACAAGATACAGAAACCTAGTCATATAAACTTGGTCTTCATGTTAAATATAAACAAACAAAATATAAACAAATCAGCAAAACTGCTGGAAAATTCCTCTAAAGCATGAGTCCTTATGAAAAATGTACACTGGGATGATGAAGCTGTCTTTTAGCAGCATACTCTGAAAAATGCTACTGCAGCCAAATGGAAAGTTTTACGAAGCAGTAGGGAACAAAGTGATGTAAAACTATGGTGGGTTTCTCAACTCCATACACTGAGCCAGGCAAATCAGATGACGGATCTGACACTTCGGCACTGCATCATCATCTTATCAAAAAGAGCAGGGACTTGTTCTGTACAGGGCAGTTTCACTGCCAAACAGGGACGCATTTAGTCTTGGTAGTAACATGACTTTAGAACATGAATTCCAGAGGATCCAGAAGTGAGGAGTAAATCCACTCCTCCCTAAAAGCCTTTCCTACAGCCCTAAAAGGATTACTAAAAAATGTCTACGGATTGGTACATGAACTGAAAATTCAAAACTGCAGCAAAACTATACAAACATATACACATATCCTAGAACTCTTGTTGAAGTTCAAAACACAGAGATTCCAACTCTAACCCCAAAGAGGGTATGCTGTTATAGCCGGGGCTGGCCTGTCTTCCCTAAAAATGCTGAGTTCTACGTCCTTGAGGCAGGAGATGCACGTTTTCCTGTCAGCCTCTCCACGGGGGTGCAAGGGGGCTGCTGAACGCTGCAGAGATGGAGAAATTCAAACAGCCTGCTGAGCTGTTTGCCCACAGGAAGGCAAAGTTCAACCCCAGGTTTCTGTTACTTGCTGGGAAATAGCTCAGTGCCAGCAGTTCAGAAATGGGAGGATCATCCGTGACTGCCTAGAAGGCTTGTCTCCGAGCTGGGTGGCAAGGATAGCCGTCAGCACTCCCAGGAGGTACGCGTAGGACACGCCCCCACGGTGGGGTCAGTTTCGAGGCTCTGAAGTCGTGGGGCTGCGGACAGTAGACATGAGGTGTGACTTGTAAGTTTTGCTCAGGCCGGTCATCCAGAACTTGAGCAGCTTGACATTGTCCTCTTCGGAGGCACCAAGGATACTCAGAAGCTTCTGTGTGTCTTCTTTGGGTCGACTGTCCACCTTGGTGAACTTAAAAAGGACTTTCACTTTGCTGTAGAAAAACAAAACCAAACACTCAGGCCCCTTGGCCCCTCGTCAGGGTGCTCGCCGGGGGCCCGAGTGGCCCCAAGAGCAACAGCTCCGCAAGCAGGGCTGGAGTCCAACAGCACACGGGGCGGCGACGCAGCCCCCGCTGCTGCTTCCGGCTGCTCGTGTGCCCGGCAGCTCTTACCCTGGGAGTGCAGCTGGCACACAAGATGGGCAGAGAAAAATGTTGCACTTAAATGCATGAAAGGACTGGTTGTCCTTTAAGTCACTGTATTATTTTCAGGGCAACTAATTAAGTTTGACAAAAATGACTAAGAAGGCAGGAAGAAATAATTATGCTTAATAAATAGGAAGCACCTGTTATCTGATTTCCAGATATTTAAAGCTAATTAAGTGGCAAAAATAACAGCTTCCCCAGAGGCAGAAATGGTCGCCCCCTCTCACAGAGGAGCAGCCTGGGGACAGCAGACACTGTGTCACTGCTAACATCACCACTAAGGTCAGCGGCAGAGCTGGTACTGAACCCTTCTCCGAACTCTCCCTCCCGGTGGCCGGTGGCCACGGCCTTGCCTCTCTTTCTGGCAATAGTGTCAGATTCTCCTCAGCAGGGTGCACGAGCCCTCCTGTCAGCAGGCAGCTCCAGGAGCCAAGCAGCAGCACTTACTTCATCCACTCCTCCTTGAGGCAGACGAGGCACTGGTCCACCACATCCACGGACAGATTCTGATTGGTCAAAGCAGCTTCCATTTTATTCAGGATGGTGGGTCCCACTGGGGGTAGAGATGGGGAAAGATCAGCATGGGGGAGCGAGGGACCCAGCGCTTTCTTCTTATTCCTGTTCTGGTGAGAGGTAGCCCCGGTCAGCAGCACCCACCTCGGTCTGCGGCTACCGGACTGCCACTGGTCACCACAAACTCGTACTTGCTGAGAGACTGGTCATCCTCACACCCGGCGGGGTGCAGGCTGGAGCGGGTGGCTGCGTGCACCTCCACCACGACAGCAAATTCTGTGGCAACACAAAACCCACTGCTCTGTGAAGCGCTCCTCAGGGTCTCCTTAACCAAGTCCACCCCACCCTGCCCTGCTAAATGATCTTAATAGGGAGAAAATACTGGTGAAAAGTCTCCTAAGGTCAGTGCTTTGGTACTCCAAACCTTCACTAGCTTATTTGGGAAGAGTGTGAAGGTCTATTGAACCAATAACAACAGTTTTTGTACGCAGTACAAGAACCACTGGCTACTTCATGACCTCGTTTCATTCAACACAACACAGCCTATGGGAGCAGTTCCACTATTAGCTCCATTTCACAGATGGGGAAGCTGGGTGACTCGCCCAAGGTCACACAACTAATGCTGGTAAGAATCCAGCTCTGTGAAGCCAGAGCCTGTGTCCCTGACACGACTCAGAGAAGGCACTGCCTGAGGGACTCAACCCACGAGCAGAGGTGCCCGCTGGGTGGCTGGGTGCCAAACGAGTATGCAAGTGCAGTGACTGCTCCTCACAGACGTGCTCCGCCACGTCACTTCCCTGGGAGGACAGGTTTGCACCTAGGCTTTATCCTGAACTTCCCAAAAGATGGGGATGCTGTTAGCTTCCTGGGTCTAGCCACTGGCAAAACCAGGCTGAGCAAGCCCCCACTGTCCTGATGAACGTTAAGGATGGATTTACAGCCTACAGGAGGCACGAAAAAGTTGGATAGGACAAGGACTGTGACAGAGGAAGAGAGCAGAAAGGAAGTCCACAAAGCCGACAGGACACGGAGGCATCAGCCTTCACTGCGGGCAGCCTTTGACTCACTCACCAGAGTGGCATGACTCTGCTGCCCACCTGCACTGCCCCCCACCCCTAGGACCTGCACTCTCCCCTCTCTCTAAGCACTCCCACTCCCACCCCCAGAACCATGCCACAGCCCAGTCACCCTTACTATATGGGGGTCCAGGCTAACACAGGCCTATCTTATCTGTAGGGTTGACTCCTGCCTCCCAGGTCAGCAGGCAGCACCCTCTAATGCACTAAGATCCAGTTTTTGGGTGCTCCCTGGTGGCACAGCGGGTTAAAGCACAGCACGATGAAGCTATCCGCAGCTACTGCAGCAGAGTTCAATCCTCAGCCAGGGAGCTGACCCACATGGCGAGGCAGACCTCTCCTGTCTTGCCCACTGCTCCCCTCAGCAGTGTGTTTCAGTCAGTCTGCCCATTCTGCTCCCCACTTCGTCTCTGCTGAATCCTCTCACCCCCTGCATCTCTGCCATGTACTCCAGTTCTTGCATAAATAGATAAACCATTAAAATAAAAGGATTGCATAAATAATTTTTTAATAATTAATTTTTAAATAATTTATTTATTTATGCATGCAGAACTGGGGTACAGGGACAGTGAGAGGATTCACCAGAGACAGACTGGAGAGCGGAACAGGCAGATCGACGAAGTACACTGCTGAGGGGAGCAGTGGGTGGGTCAGGAGGGGGTCTGCCATGCCATGTGGTCACCTCTGGGGCAGGGATCGAACTCGCAAAGAAGCGGCTGCTGCTCGTTTGCAGTGCTGTGTCCTAACCCGTTGCACCACTGGGGAGGGCCTAAATAGATAAATCTTAAAAAAAAAAATCCAATTTCCTTTCTGAGCCCTTAGGTATGGTACTCGGCTCCAATGAAAGGCACACACCTGAAGACAGCACGTGGGAAGGGATCTGCACCTGAGGGCTGAGCCCCAGGAAGTTACACCGGTAGGCCTCTTCGTACTGGCTGCTGTATGGGATGATGCGAACACAGCCCACAGGCAGCATGGTCTGGAGAGGACAGAGCAACTCAGAATCCACACAAGCCAGAACTTCCCACCACCCCATCACCCGTGTCCCAAACCCCCACTGTGGCTGTCCTAAGCCTCCCTCTCTGCCAGAAGGCATCTCTGGTCACTCAGCCCCACAGAGAGGCCTCAGTCTAACTCTTACCCTGGTAGCTGGTCACCTGAGACTTAGGCTGCCTTTGCTTTGCAGGGTTAATCCTTACACAGTTCCTTGACTTCACAGGTATTTCTCTTTGACCTCCTTGCAAATAGATTCTAAGGCTTCTGGGAGATTGTATCAGACTCATTTTTGTACCCTGCTAGGCCTGGGCAGATAGCAGGTATGCTCACACTTTCTGATGCTTCAAGTACATCCATCAGTCCAGGCCTTGGCACCCACCACAGCCCTGGGTGGAGACCACATGCCACCCCCACATCCCACTGAGCTCACTGAGAACCCTCGGTGCAGAGGAACACATGGTCACCCAGACCTTGCATCTGTGACAGCTGTGCCCACTCTGATGGCTTCAGAATGCTGGACCAAGAGAAGTAGACAGGCTAGTTAGCTATCAGCCTTTCAGGAGAGCACAGGCTCGTTCCCTGACCTAAAAATCATAAATCACTGGCATGGGTAAGATTCAGGCTTGAACCTCTCTACTGATAGAGCCTAACATTCACACCTACAGTCAGGATTATTTTTAAGAACACTTAGCAAATACTGCCCTGCTGCAAACACATAAGAAAAAGGTGCTCTTACCCGAAGTACTTCAAAAGCTGATTGGACCAGGTCTGCATCTCTACTTTTCCAGATGACCTGGTTCCCCATGAGAACATGCCAGGCCAACATGCGAAAAGATGGGGCACCCAGGACCTGAAAAATTGACCCAGATCAATTTTTTTTCACTCCAAATGAAGTGTGATTTCCCCACCACTAGTTTTATTTACTTATTTTTAAAATATATATGATTTATTTATATGTATATTTTATATCAAAGTTCATTTTTGTACAATGTTTACTTTCTTTTTTCAGAAGCAGTCCTCATAGAATTCCAACCACCAGTTCACCTGTTCAGCTTCGCCATAGTCCCTCGTGTTCTTCCTGCCCTCATTCTGATCCCTTTTCCTCCCCCTGCCCTGCAGAATGTCTCTGATTGATAGCTATCTGTTTATTTTTTGTTTTTTCCTTGATCCCTCTTTATTCATCTTATAAGTTAAACTATGTGGTATTTTCCTTTTCCCACCTGACTTATTTCACTGAGTGTAATCCCTTCTAGTTCCATCCATGTTGCTGTGAATGGCATTAGTGTATCTTTTTTGATTGCTGAATAGTAGCCCATTGTGTATATACCATGTCTGCTTGACCCAGTCGTCTATTTTTGGGCATTTGGGTTGATTCCACATCTTATCTATTATAAATACCTATGTATATTATAAATAAACATAGGGATGCATGTATCTTTTTTTATTAATGATTTTGTGTCCACTGGGTATCCCTAGCAGTGGAATTGCTGGGTCATAAGGAAGCCCCATTTTTATTAGCAGGGTGAGGAACCTCCATACAGCTTTCCACAGTGATTGGACCAGTCTGCATTCCCACCAGCAGTGCAGGAGAGTTCCTTTTTCACCACATCCTCGCCAACATTTGTTGTTACTAGTTTTTTAAATATGTGCCATTCTCAGTGGTGTGCGGTGTCCAAATGAAGTTTTTTATGTGTTTGTCTAGAATCTTTCTCTGTATAATGAGGAAAGCTAGTTCAGGTGTTAAATAAGAAAGTCACTTATTCTTGGGGAGGGCGGTGACTTGCCCAAGGTTAAAAGAGGGCAGGCAGAAGTCCCGGCATCACAGCATGTAAGCGTCTGGGAAGAAGGGTCTGCACAACCATGTTCACTCCCAGAAACACCATCCTGAGGCAATCAGCTCAGTATTCAGAGCCACTAGTTTCTGAAAATACATTTTATAGTTGTTATTCTTTTGATCCAGGAATCATTAAAGGATCATAATTGCTTTCAGTTGTCCTGTCTTTACTCTACTTTTAAATTAGAACATTCCCCCTTCTATTAACTTCAGCAACAGTATCATCTTAGAAGAGTTCCATCTGTAACCTTACAATTTATAAACATAGCTAAAAATAACATTCATAATCAACAAAAAGAGGAGGCTACAATATTATATTTTCTCTAACTCCAGTAGCCACAAAATATTCCCATCTCCAGTGGAATTCAAGATTCCTCTCATTTGGAGATTCATATGTGCAATTACGAGGATGACTACAGCCAAACCCAATATTCTGATGGTTGTTTTTATCCAAAAGTCCCACAGAGTATCTGCTATTTAATCAATTTGTACTCCATTTTCCAAAATAAAAACAACTCTTTTGATAAAATTCATGCTTATTGTAAAAACAAATGCAGAAAAATATCAAAAGGGACAACTTACCCATTACCTAGTGACCACTTCCTCGCACCTGACTTTCATCACAGTCAATACTGCTGTAGTTGACTTCTATCCCTTGGGGAGTGTGAGTGTGAGAGACTGTGTGTGTGTGCAGATACAAATTTAAGTTTGTAAATCCTACAGATACTACCTGTCCATGATGTTCAACTGTTTGCACACAATGATTATGGGTGGACATTCAGGTAGTTTCCAATTTTTTGTAAGAGTCATCACTCACAAGTTGCAGCCCAGGTTATATGCAAACCAGTAATACTGCTAGTCAATACCTTTAAAAGGGTTTAGAAACACAAGATTAATGGGCTGACAATCCAGGCCAGTCTTAAAGATAACACTACATCATCCCTAAAAGGGAGTGTTGATCCTGTGACTAATATACCCTAGATGCTGAGTGTCATCTTCAGCCGTTCCCCAAACAGGTTCTTGGTTACCCCTCACAACTGTTCCCTGCTGGGAGGAGAGGGACGGGGCTTTTTCCCTAGTTTCTGATCAGGGCTCTAGCCCCCCTCCACCGACCTGCCTCATGTGCCGAAGGGACTTGAAGACTGACAGCTTTCGGGTCTGCCAGTTTCCACAGTCTGAGAGCAAGGAAGCATCTGCTGAGCATTTGGTCAGCTCCCGCCCTTCTGCACCATCTGGCAAGGCAGGGGCTTTGTCCTCCTCCTCAGCCTCCGAGTTGTCCCAGCTTTCGGATTCTTCTTCTAAGTCTGCAACACAAACCACAAGGACAATAATGAATATGCTGCTCCTTAGGTTCCTCCATTCCCTACATCCAACAGGCCCAAGTGACTTTAGCCCAAGGCTTCTTGCAGTTAAACTGACCCCAGTTACTGAATTCTGCTTTAGGCCAGCTGTCGATGCCTACGCTACATATTGCCACTGGAGCCCTGGGCGGGCCGAGGGGCCAGCCTGCTGTGGGCTCATGCTGCGTTGTAAAGCAGGCACTTGGGCGCTGTTCACCACTGGTGGGAAAATTCACACCAATGATGAAGAATACTGAGCTATTACTATTACTTGAGCTGTTAATTAAGTCCTCAGTACTTTCCTGAGGGTCCCCTCACACATTGTTTTATTTAATCCTGTCACTGTCCTGAAGTCTATAATTTTACAAATAGAGCAATACTGATTTCAATCAATCTTTTGCGACAACCCTCACAAATGAATACACTTTTATTCCATGTCACAAATGAGACCCAGGGAAGGGGTTGTAGCTGTGCACACATAACACATCAACACAGAAGAGCAGGATCTGAAGTAAAGTGTGTTTCCAGACCCCTCTGTGCACCGTCTTCCTGATCAAGACACAGTCCCAGCATGACCTAAGCTTTGCATGCTGCATTTCTCTCTACTAAAAGGGGATATACTTGGCTCTCTGTAAATAAATCTCACCAACAGAAGACCTTGACCATCTTCTCTAGCCTAGAAATGTGTGATCACTACAATTAAAAATCCTAGACTTGACCCACCTATGAGAGTATGAGGTCACGCTGCAAGACTTGGAGCCCTGACCATGAACCTGGGGAGGGCTGCCCAGATAGCAGCAAGGTTTGGGAACCACCACCCTTGATGGAAACACAGGGTCCCACTGAAGTGTAACATTTTTCTGCTTAGGAGCAAAAAATGAGATACTGTCTACAAAGATAAATACTCAGCTGTCATAAAGCAGAGATAAGAAAACTTTTAATAACCCATCCTCTCCGCAGACTGATAGGCCCCAAGAGTGGATCTTCTTGAAGGAACTCACAACCAGGGATAAAGGGCAAACATTTGCAGAGGTGCCTCTTGGGCTGAATTTATTCACCCCTGGGGCACATCATTAGCCTTTCTGCCAGCACAGGGGAGGGTCTCCAGCAGTCACTGAAGACAAGCTCAAGCACCTCCCAATTCACCTGCAAGCTTTTCCATCTGGACCAGGGTGTCCTCTGTGGGTGCACCCTCCAGAAGCTTCTCTGTCAATCGGCTGCCACATGCCTTCAGGAGCCTAGAGAACAAAGTGCCATGTGTGAATTTTTCTTGCAACTGAAAATCTAAAGTGTAGCCAATCAAGCCTTTTGATCTTACATAAGTTTACAGAAAACAGGATTATAAAAGAACATGTGAACACTGTGGTGTCATTATTAGCCAGATCCAAAAGGGAAATAAAACACAAATGACCAACAAAAGGTATGGGAAAAACCTGGCTGAAACAGTACAATTTTTTTTGCTTTAAAAAAATACTTCAGGGCCCTCCCTGGTGGCGCAGCGGGTTAAAGCACAGCACTGAGAAG